CTTGATATGATGGCCAGAGTCGAAGGTGTTTGCTGGCAGGTTTATGCGCACACAATTTCAAAACTTTTACATAATTACAAGTATAATGCAATTTAATTTAATTAAGATTGAGTAAATGTTGAACGCTTTTAAGTATCAGACCTAAATAAAATTATGGAATTTTATTGGCTATCAGAAATGCTTTTTAATGGCATTGGATTATACTTGTATGAATTTAATATTTACTTTTTTTCTTCATTTTAAATTGTTTGATAGCTTAGTCGATTAAAACTGTTCGTGAAGCGCCTTTTTTTTTGGAGATTTCCCAGCAAGATCTTGATTTCTACAGATAGAATAAAATGAAAATTCAATTCTAAAACCATTTCATGAAAATTTAACGAAACTAATGTAAAGACCTTGAATTTCAAAACTATTTGGGACAGTTGTTTATCTTCCCGGGGCAGCTTGGGAATGAGATTTGCAGCTTCAAATTGGTACTCTGCTAAAGGAAACTTTTTTTTTTGAAATCTCAAACATATTTTTAACCATTTAGAATCAATTATTGTAAGTTAAACTAAAATAAATGAAAGAAAAGTATTTCTTTGCCAAAATATTGACGCAGATAATAAACTAAATGGGACCTTCATGTCAAGGTATGCTCGACTGCCATACATTTATGAATTAAATTATTCAGAGCATTAATTGCAAATTGGTTATAATATAATTTTTGATATGTGGCGAACACAGCAATATATTGTTACATATTTGTGTTTCTTCTAATAATGTTTCTATACAACCGCAATGCATACAGAACTACCCCCTGAAGCTAAGCATATTAATTAGGGGTGGAAAAGAAACCAAAAATAGTTTTCTTAGTTGCAACCACTTTGTCATTTGATTAGTATGGCTAATGTAAAGGTCTATGGTCTTAAATAGACTATTTATCCATAACCGCATAACGTTAAACGTTATGATTTCGAAACTCTACTTGAAGCTAAATATAACCAGTAATCAAGTACTATAATGTGGGGTGAAGTGGACAAGAACTCTGAATAGAGCGTTAAATAGTTTAGGCCTGACTAATCTCGATCTTCCCTATGACAACTCATCATCATTCAATACTGCAATATTTATTCAATATGATCAATATTATTCTCATTTTTTTGATTAACCTTTTGCCCTGGAATTTTATTGCTTACTGAACAAAATTATGCAAAGACAATCGATTTATTAATTGATTGTTTAGACAATGAACTGACCAGCTCATCTATTGACTGGAATTGTGTATTGGGATATCGTGTAAACGAAAAATGAATGACTGTGCTGGGCTTTGGCTCTTCACTGGCGCTTAAAGTGTTTCGGACTGACGTTGATGCTGCTGTTGGTGTTGCTGCTGTTGTTGTTGCTGCTGTTGTTGTTGCTGTTGTTGTTGGTGCTGCTGCTGCTGCCTTGCAGCAATGTCGTGAGATATGCGCACCAGACAATGTCTGGGCCTGGACGCCACAAATAGTCATGGACACTGGACTATGGGCAATGAAGTGGAGCCTAGTGCTTGGGCTAGGGTTATGGTTTCTTTTTTTTCGGGTCTCTCTGGAGATTTGTGCTGCCGGCGGCCAAGCGGCATGTGCTGTGCACACGATTGTCTTGGCTTTGGGGTTGATTTTGGTCAGTTATAAGCGTCTTAAGTGGCTAGCACATAGGTGTGGGACGCACCGTAGGTGCCTACAAGAATATATCTGCTCAAGGGGAGAATGAAAATCGTAGTGTGCTGCAATTGACAGCAATGAAAACTGTTTTTAGATAGAACTCTGCTACATCAGCAGAAAATTTGTGAATACAAATTAGTTGGGGCATTGATTGTATTACAGAGTGTGTGATGGCATTCCAACGAGGCACAGTGGAGTAACTAAATAAATAATAATGAATCAAGTTAAAATATATTAGCAACTCTTCTTCAAACACTTTTCACAAAGGGAATAAGTACATGAGCAAAAAATGTTTTTTTTTGAAAGTATTTGTATAAAGAGTTCACATATTGCTGGAGACCAACAGACTGTTTCTGAGGTTCATTCCTTTTAAAAATGGAACTGTATAACTAATTAGTAAAATAGATACAAATGGTGGAAGTTATCAAAAATGTGTATTTTCTATTTGAGGGAAAACGATATAGTTCCAAATCTGCCAAGTATATTTGTACTTCTATAACAAATATTGCATTCGTAAAGTGTTGGTCACACATAGATGACAGAATATTGTCTCAGCTAATTGTTTGCGATAAAATCGTTAAAATAATTAAAGAAAACCTTTGAACTACTGTCAAAAGCTGGATTTAAAAGAAGTTGGTATTTTCGAAAAAAATGAGGGATCACATTTCCATTTGCGGATGAAATTGGCCCAGTTCTTGAACAGCTGATTAGTGGTGGTGAAAAATGGGTCACATACGACCATTATTACAATAAATGAATAAACTTGAACAGATAAACGTATAGAATTATAGTCTCAGTAGATTCCACCAGAAAACTATTATAAATCGAAAACTAAAAAATGTATTTTAGTCCTACTTGTATATCTATTATTTGTAAATTGATTTTCGGTAGAAAAGTGACAAAAAGCAGTTCCATACAACACATTTAAGCAAAAATCCCATTACATTAAAACTAATATTCGAGACACCAGGGCTCCATTATAAGCCCCGAATATGAAAAGTGTTTTAGTTTCTTTGCTGATTTATAGAAAGTACCTGTCCAAGAATAAATATATATATAAGTGGCATGCCATGTAAGATAAGCTTATATGAGTTTTTTCCAACTAACATAAAACTCTAGTTCCCATTAACGATAAATGCTATAAAGAAATAAAAAACTGCTCTTCATTTGCATTAATCAATAGTTCCAAGAAAAGCAGCAATGCCTTTCAATTGGGCACACTTTTCAAAAAACAATACGTTTGAGGTAATGAAAACAACAACAACAGCAGCAGCAACAAAACAAGGATTAATAAACGTGTGCTGTAATGGCAACGCAAAAAAATGACGAAAAACTAAGGGAGCAGCAAAACAAAAGTCCGTAACATTTTATCAGAGGCTCAGCAAAGCGCAGGCGATAAAATTCAACTGACTGTGTGGCAAAGCGCCAGGCAATCCAGCACTGCAGGAGCGAGCGAGGGAGAGAGCGAGAGGGAATGAGAGAGAGAGAGAGAGAGAGCGAGCGCGCACTCGCCAAGGATACGCACATCCACGTAGTACTGTAAACCGGCTTGCTCAGAGCAGACAAGGCTAGCTAGCGATGGCCGATTGCTCTCGCTTTTGCCATCCTGCTCGCACAGCGGCCATCGCTCTAATTATAGGTTAGGGCGCATTGAGCATAAGACAATGCGCTCATTGGCTGACAGCTGGCGTAGCGTGCACGCAGCGGGGCGTCGCCAAATCGAGCTGTGTATGAGGATTAGCGACGGTGGCGGTGGCGGCGACGGCGGCGTTGGCGGCAAACTTGTTTTGAGTGAACGGCGCTGTTAAAATTTTATGAATGAAACGAACGCTAGCGAGCGGCGCCAAGCGAAGGCAGCTGCTGCCTATAATACATCATCATCACCAGCAGCAGCAGCAGAGGCAGCAGCGAGAAACAACAATAACAACAACTGTGCTTATGATCACTTTGAATGCCTCGGCATGGGCCTGGGTCTGGGCTCTTGGGTGAGCGCGTTTTGTACATTCTGGTGGTTGCTTTTGTTTTCTTCGGTCCCTCTTGCTGTCTCGCTTGTGCGCCCAATGAGAGCCAGCAGCAGTGGCAGCGACTCCAATTAAATGTGTTGTTGTGCTCTGCGCCAATGTTGCGTGTAACGGCGTCATGATGAATGGCTGCATGTGTGTATTTGAGTATGTATATGTGTTTCTGTGTTTGTGTTGGCGTCGCTGTTGCTGATTCTGCTGCGACTGCGACTGTATATCGTTGAGTCGTCGTCGTCGCCGCAGTCATCGTCATTTGTTGTTGTTTGGTTAGTTTGCCAGTCAACATCAACAGCAGCATTACACACGCACGCGTCACACAAACACACACATACACGCAAATATATTCACACATTCGCCAGAGAATTGCGGATTTTGGCTGGCTTTGTGTATTCCACTCTACGCTCCCACCGCCGCTGCTGCTGCCGTTGCTGCTGCTGCTACTGCCGTTGACGTCGGCGGCGACGTTGTCGCAAGCTTTTTGTTTGAGTTGGCATCGCGTGAAACAGTTGCAAGCCTTTGAACGATCAGCGACGACGACGAAAACTTTTGCGCGGATACTTTTTGGGCTGTGTCCGTTTGTTTGTTTGTTTGTTTGTCTGTTTGTTTGTTCGCTCCTTGGGCCAAGCAACAGCAAGCGAGAAAACAAGAATACAAATTAAAAGAGAAAAGGCCAAAAGCCGTCATACAGCACCTGTGCAAACAAAAACAAAAGCCTAACACGAAGAATTCAAAATCATCGATATATTCAAAAGTTACGAGTGTGTGCACATCATTGCTTCAGTTGTTAATTTTTTTTTCTTAAAACCCGCTTTACACGTGCGTGCCCGATTACTTATTTTTTTGCGTTAATTTATTGCCATAAACAAACAACTCTGAGCAAAAAGTGTGAGTGTGCCAATAGAAACGAGGAATATTTTTTAAAATTAAACAAAAAAAAACATCGCAAAACCTCAAATCGCTTGCCGTTGCAGCAGCCGTCGCTGCCAGCAAATGACAGTTGAGCGCCTGCTGTGTTGCCTTCAAGTCAAGTGGCCAGAGACATTTTCCTCCTCATGTGAGCCGACGGTCCAACAACAAAAGCAACACCAACAGCAACGTGTTACAGCGTGCAATGCCCAATAACACCAACAACAACAACAACAACGACAGCAAAAACAAAAATAACAAGAGCAGTGAAAAGTGCATAAGCCCTCGAAATATATTCGACTAATCTTTTTTTGTTGCAATTTTTTTGTGTTCTCATTTTATGCCTTGTACGCAAACAAAACAAACCAAAACAAAAGATCAAGAAGGCGAGGGAGCGAGTGAGAGAGCGAGAGAAAAAAAGGAGAGCGCGAGTGCTAGTGTGTGTCCTTTGTGAATCCTGAGACAAAGCACCTCAACCATAACAACAATAGCAACACTAACAGCAATAACAACAACTGTAAGAGTAAGAAGCTGTTTTTAACAATTCTTCGGCATTGTTGCCATCGCAAAGCTTGTACTTAAATTTGAATTTTCTGGTCTACCTGTTAACGGCCGTGTGTGTGCCGGTGTGTGTGTGTGGGCTTGTGCCTCAGCCAAAGCAACAAAACAGAAACAACAGCAACATTGTACGCCTCAAAATCACAGCAACAACAACAACAGCAACAACCACTGCTAAGATGCTAACGGACATGACACCGACCGCCGGTCAATTGTATGGCTCACAGATACCGGCAATGGGCATGAATATCACAAATATCGCAACACATTTGCAGAAGCCACAAGTTAATCCGGTGAGTTAACAAACGCTGTGGACGATCAGTAGAGTGTCTACTGATCTTAGATTAAGATACCAATACTATATACGAGTTTGTGAGGGCCAAAGAATGGATCGCACTAAGCAGATATGGGAAGATCTCGACAAAGAATTCCTCTTAACAGTTGGGAATAGCTGTTCCATCGGGCTGATGTTGGTGTATATGCCCTAAGTTTCATCGGAAATAGCATTGATTATTATTTATATTCATTAAAGCAGCTGTTGGTTCACTTTTAAAGCAAGAAAATATTCTCCTTGATGCAACAGAACGATCATAGATACATTGGAGACACTTTTTGTCACAACAGGACTGTCGTAGATACATTAGAGATACATTATAATTCAACAGCATTGTCGTCGATACATTAGAGAGACATTAGAGAGACATTGGAGATACATTTTCATACAGCAGGACTGTCGTAGATACATTATTGATACATTTGGATACAGGAAAATGATTATAGATACATTAGAGATACATTTTGATACAACAGGACTATCTTAGATACAGTAGAGATACTTTTTGATGTAAAAGAACTGTCAATTATAACTTAGAGATACATTTTGATACAGGAAGACGATCATAGATACATTAGAGGTACATTAGAGATACATTTTAAAGCAACAGGACTGTCATAGATACATTAAAGATACATTTTGTCGCAAAAATGCAATCATAGGTTCATTAAATAAGTCATGCAGTACAACAATATTTATAACACTCATAGATATTTCTCCATGTATCTAAGAGATATAGCTCATTTAGTATTTGACAAATGGAAATGTGCTATAGGATCATAGAGTAACTGAAAGTTTGAAAACGTATTTTACATTAAAAGTATCTTACAGAAAAAAATTCAACATTTGTGAATGGAAGTATTCAATGAATCCTATACCAGCATTTTTATACACAATAGGTATATTTTCATTTAATAGATACATACAAAGAAGTTGTATCTATGTTGTATGTTGTATCTCTCTATCGCTGAGAGTTGTCTCAGATACGTTTTAATGCCACAGTAACAGATGCTTCAAAAAAAGATAGAAAGATGGCAAAACATTGTAAAGATACTTTTCGCATAAAACAATTTTTGTTATACATCTAATGGATACATTTTATGCCACAAAAAAACGACTTCTACGTTTGATGTGGAATGTATCCAGTGCCCTTAAAAGATACATTTTGTGTGTAAAACATTTGAAGTTTTAGGTATAAAGTATTCTCTATAAAGGCCGAGCATCGCTCTATTTTAAAAACGCACTTGGACAGTAACAGATACAAAAGCATCTATTAGCTGAAACAAATACATACTATATAGGTATATATGTCTATAACTTTGGCATTACTTTGTTCTCTCACATTCAACAATCATCGCAAAAATCTCATAGTTGGAATCTATCTCACAGATACGCTTTAGAGCAAAGTGCTGGCAATTCATGTTCACAATCTTTATCCGCAATTGAGCCAAGCTGACACTTTTCAAAGTTATATTTTTCGAAAGTATCTCACAGATACGTGTGAACATGCATGCATCGGTCGCTTTCTTCCCAACGATTTGTCGCCCTGCACGGCATCTCTCAAAAGTCGCCCAAAAATCTGACAAATCAGCCACTTACATGCCATTTGTCATTGAACATTAGCACAACAATAAACAAACAATGACAACAGCCGCAACGACAGCAGCAACAACAATGCCAGCATCAGCAACAACAATAGACAGCAACAACAACAACAACAACAATTGAACGGCATCTGAGTTAACGGCGCTAGACGCGACGCTTCGACATCTCTACAGTAGCGTACCTTTTCAACGGCCCAGTCATGGTACGTTTATCTGTGTGTCTCTGTGTGTGTGTGTGTGTTTGTTCTCCTTTTGTTGGGTGTATGTGTGTGTGTGTGTGAGTGCTTGTGTATCGATGATTGAGCCGAAAGTATCTAATACGGCGGCTGCTGCCCAAATCGATTAGATGCGGCTTGTTCAGCTCCTCTGGCTGTGCCAACGAAATTTCACGCTACAGCTTAGCGCATTCGGGTATCTAGCAGATACATACATATGTACGCATGCACACAAAAAGCGTCAGACTGAGATACTCATCTCACACACATACACTGCCATCCATATGCACATGTAGAAGTATGTTAGAGTGTTCAGGTATGACCCGAAATCAATTATTCTGGGCTCGGTTGAGCCACTTGAGGTGTGAAGCTAGCGATGAAATGATTTTCGTTTTCATTTCATTTCATTTTTGTTCTTGTACATTTTAGAATTTGCGAGCTCGCCAATCTAGATCCGATATAGATATATCGTATTACCCATTTACGGTTAGCTGCATTGACTTTGAGCGATTTGTAGAAGAAGATACGAGTAGGTGCCGACTTTTCTCGATTTTCGTGCACAATTCCTTTTGTTGTTTTGAGAACTGGCTAATTGACTTTTTGCCTGCCCGCTTATCGATATATCTGGTGGATATCTTTGAGCGGAAGCAAACACTTAACGGCTTAGCCGAAATTGAAAAAATTTAACTCAAACGCCTACACTGAAACATTTATAAGTACGGCTCATAAATTCAGAAACATTTGTGGTCACCGCTTAGTAAGGTTGAGGAATAGGGCTAACAAAAGAGAGAAAGATGACCCAATAATTCCTCTCTATTCGAAAACTTTTGAAGCATAGACAGTTGCCGCTTAGCTAGAATGAGCAAAAGGTGTAAAGAAAGAGCTTTAAGGACTCTATAATTCCTCTCAATTCGAAAACTTCTGAACCATAGACAGTCGCCGCTTAGTAAGGTTGAGAAAAAAAGGTGAATGCAAGAAAGAAATCTGCAGGCTCTACAATTCCTCTAATCGAAAACATCTAAAGCATGGGCAGCCGCCGCTTAGTAAGTCTGGTAATTAAAAATAATGATCAGAATCATAAATATTCCGGAGTAGTTGAAAATTGAGGTGAATGCTAATATTTTTCTCCGTGTAAATCATCTGGCTAATGGTTCCGCAAATGCCCATCAATCTGAACTACATTTGGCGCTTTGATGTGGACCGCTAAAACGAAACTAAACTAAACCATATTGTGCCCCCAAATGATTTCCTGCTCGCAGGCAATAAAACACAAAACATAATGATGATTATGACAGAATGCCGTTTTCAAAATAAGCCAAAACACACACACACACACACATATTCGTAAGAAAGCAACAAAGCCAAACAAACCAAAAATAAAAAAAATGTTTTTTTATGTGCGCTTTATTTCAATTTTTAAATTATGCAAATTATTTTTCAAATGCCATAACACGCATGAAAAATGCCCAAACAACATGAACTAAAATTATTATGAAGAGACGATGGCAACGGAGAAAAGATTATAAAACTAATCTCATGCTGCTACGAAGCTGCAAATACCCTTCACTCCCTTCAAAAAACTACACAAAACACGATTATATTCATTTCCTCAATACGAAATACAGGCGAGGTATCTTGAAAAATAAGAATTTTATAATTTAATATCTTTTACTGTCCTGTGAACTAGACTACTCAGCACAAATAATTATTTTCATTCCCTTGATATCTTTAGGATATTTAGGGAGTTTTTTTTTACGACAACTCTATGATGTATGGTCTCTTCGTGGCTGCAGTCTCAGAGTTGCAGAATTCAAGAATTAATGGTCTCCCCTGTCTAACTCTGTTCCTTAAAATCGTACTTTCCAATCACACTAATATGCTCATTCGTTTTGAGCGAAGGGTACAGCGCATAGGTATATGAATGCGATATTTATGGGCTACTCGTATATAAATTTGCTCAGAACTTGAAGCAAAGCCTTTTTCAATAGTTGTCGAAAGAAATTAAAAAAATAATAATAACAATAAATAAAGAAATACTAAATTAAAAAGAAAAGGACAAGTAAAGAGTTGTGTTTTTGCTTATTTATTGATTTCTTTTACCAACAAAAAAGGTCAGTCAACATAACTAATGTTATTCAATTACATTTTAAAATTACAATTTGTGTGGTCGTCAATAGATCTAGAATCTAAATAAACAATACCTAATATTAAATAAATAGAAACAAATTAATGCAATATCAAAGATATCAACATACATATAACTAGAAATATGGCTTTGTATCTCTTTCTCCCACTCACTGCGTTCAATCGTTAAATCAGATTATACACAGAGCTTGGTGTGTACTGTATAGTTAATAACTATATTAATACTTAATACCACAATGGCTTTTAATAATTTGGAAAAATAAGAAACAGACAGTCCGTATTATCTTTTTTAATTCATAAACACCTAGGGAAAAATGCCGTTATATCAACAGCCAGCTATGATGATCACTCGTAAATGGGTAACAAACTATAGAAGCATAATGTTGTCGATATACTATATAAGGTCCTGTTCGACTGCCACATCATCTCAGATTATATAAATATTTAAAAAATGTTGATTTGATAGTTATACTAGAAATTATGTAATACATTTTATAATTCCTTACTAAATAATAACACCGATCGAATCGATTTGCAATTATATATTATATGCTCGTATATACATATATAGTATTTTATACATATTTATACGTTTATATATATTTATTCATTGCTTAAATGGTTTATTAAATATTAAGCTGCGGAAGTTATTTAACGTTTTCCTTCATATTCTTATTCAATAGGATATAGGAAGGCAGACTTAAGCTTTTGTCAAAGAGGCTGGGCATATTTTGGAGCTTTCCTGGCTTAGACCACACACACACACACACACTCTTACACGCACACACACACACACACACACACGCATACAACATAGACACATACGCATAAAATTGATGACTTTGCATGCCTTGGCAATCGCATGACATTTTTAATAGAGTTAGTAACGCCAATAACGCATAAACAAGCCGTTCAAATAGGCGCAAAATTGTTGAAGCAAATGCATTAAGTCAGGCATATAGCAACAACAACAACAACAACAACAGCTGGCTGGC